GAAAATAATGAATTAGAAAAAAAAATATCTATTAAAATAAACAAATACAACATTATTTACATTGTCATGTTCAGTTGATGATGTTTAACATATGTTCGTTTCCTTCTTTTCTTACATGGACATTTCCGCATTTTAGTTGTTCGAAGATATCAATATACCAACAAAAACATCTGTTATTCATTCATATATATATATACATTTATTGTTACATTAATTTCTTCTTTTTTTTTCTTTTTAAGGAAGATAAATCACAATGGTGTTCATCTGATGGTATTAGTAAGATAATTCTTGGTTCGATTGAATTACATAATTTAACATATGCTGAACATAAACACCTCAAACAAATTATTTTACAACGTTTACAATCATCACAATATGATTTGGGTGTATCAATACATGTGCCGGGAGGTATGAAGCAAAAAAAAAGACAACAAAAATGAATATGATAGGTTTTGACATTTAAGTGCAAAACATACTCAGTTAGAACTCATGCACGTACAAATAGAGAAAATAGGATTAGAAAGAGAGAGAGGAGACTTCCGTTTATAATCAAATCAAGTTCTCGTTGATCAAATTTCGTTCTACGTGCATGGCCTTGATTTATGATCGTATAACCCTATAGGGAATATAGTGTCTTGTTGTGATCTTCTTTTTTTTTTCTAGCCATCTATTTATCACAATACTTGTGAAAAAGGAAAAACAAAATAAATTAATCAAAAAAGAAATAAAAAAATTTTATGATATCAGGTTAATTAGCATAATAAATAAATAAATAAATAAATATATATATTTTATAATTTGATATTGAATAAAATAAAAGAATTTTTCTTTTTTATTCCATTTTTATGTAGAAGAACCAGCAAGAAAACGCAAACATCATTTTATGTTTCGTAGTAAATCAAGTGATAAATCAAAAGAAGGAAAAGGTTTGTATTGTTTTTAAAACAAATTAATATAGAGTGATTCAAAAGATTTTTGTTATAATAGAGTAGTTTGTTTACAAGGATGTCTTTCTATTTTTATTTAAACATCATGTTATAAACAGGAATGGGTAGGCTCCTTCCGACGGAAAAAGGATATGGGCCGAGACAAACACGACTCATCCTCTTGAATGTAGTGTCAACAGATTTTCTTTTTTTTTCCAAAAAAAGAAACAACTAAATCCTAACGTATGACAACATAATATTCCATAGGTTTTTTTTTATTGCAAATTATTTTTCTTTGAGTAAATCGATGAAATTTATTCAACATTCTTCATTTAGAAAATATGCTTTATAGTAAAATTTCTATCTCTCATGCTTATTGATATTTTGATCAAAAGACGTTTTGTATAGAAAGAAGCTCATGGCAAAGTATCTATAGATTCACTTAGATAAAAGTAACAGTTTTGTCCACTATATCATTGCTATCAAAAGCTAGTAGAAAAGCATGTGTACACATTATATTTTGACACCGAAAATAGTCGCGAAGAAAACTAGACACAATATTTTTGATCGTATGTTGAAAGAGAACAAGACATTCTGATCATCCTTCATAGTTTTTGACTTTTTTTTATAATATATTCAAGCAAATCAAAGTGAGCAGCCATTTACATGAAGAATTTTCCGTCCAAATTCAATTTCTCGGGCTTTTAAAGACTACGTGACTACTCTGGAACAGAAATTTTGTAAGATCAGTTTCTGAAAGTGTACAATATACTGGTTCTAATCTATAGCCTTTAATTCATTAGAAAGACTTTCATGGAATCTAAATAAATATTTTATTTCAAAACTTTCGATTCGTCTAATATTACAAAATGATTTATAAATAGAAATTTTTTTACTATTCGAATGAAAATAGCAAATAAATACTTGTTCTACATTAAGAATAACAACGCTTGGCTTTATTACATCTGTAATAAACTGTTTTCCCATTTTTTGTTTTTCTATAGTTCGTACAATGTTTTGACCATTGATTTCTATTCAATACATTTACTCCATCAATGTTATCAAATAAAGCCTCATTAACTCAATATTTTGATTTGTTCTCCTTTTTTTGACAAGGTCTTTCATTTCCATTTATTTCATACTTTTTTCTTTGATATAATCTTAACATAGGATATATCATTTTCATATTAAACAACTTATATCACATCCATCTTTTTAGACTCTAAACTATAGTCAGAAAAAAAGTACCCAGATGTATGTCCTACGGATCATTTATACTTCACAGCATAAATAATAAAAAAACAAGTGTATCATACAATAGCGCATTTCTTTAATTTCATCTATTATATTGAGTAATGATTGTTCTCGAACTCTTAATGCTTTTATCATTTTATAAAGAACAAAATTGCCGCTGATTCTATGAAAACAAAAAAATCGGTAATACAGCCAATATTTTATTCCACGTAATTGTGGTGCTCATCCAAAGACCAAGTCGACCCTTTTTTCCGAATTTTAACTTATCCTTTCGAAAGATAAAAATCTGCATAGAATATATCCTATGGAGTAAAGAAGATTATAACAACGAAAAACATAAATTTTCTTCGTTCAAACTTAATTTACGAGCATCTAAAAGACTAAAATAAAGAAATTTTGAATTCATACATTCACATCGAATACAAAAATTCTGTTTCTAACTAAATTTAAAAAAAAAATGACAAAAACATTTTGTCTAATTATTTTTTAATATTCAGTTTTCTTCTAATTCAAATATTTTGAATCATTTTTTTTTAATTATCATAGATACAAAATCTAATGGAAATGTATTTGGTGTTGCTTTATCACAATGTGTAAATGATGATGATTTTCGTTTTCAAGATGATGTTGTATTTACATCAGGAGCTATTGCTAGTGGAATTAATCGAAAAGATAGTACGGATATGATTGGTATAGTAGCAAATGAAGGTCGAACAAGTCCATCTGGTAGTATTTCATCAACAAATGATAGTGGATGTTCAGTTTCACCAGCAAGTCCAAGTAGTTTACAAGTAAAAACAAGCAAATAAAAAGATTTTTTTTTTTTTGTATGATAAAAATAATTTTTAGATATCTGAATATGATTATGAAACTACAAAATTTCGTTCTGTATCACTTGAAGCATTAGGACCCAATGAAGCAGCTGGTGGAATAAGTCGAATGAATACATTACGATGTTATCCAGCTAAAGTACCTGAATTAATAAAAAATTGTTGTGATTATTTAGAAAAAAATGGTATAAATAAAAAAAAAAGACATAAATCTTTTTAATTATTTTTTTGTTTTTTTTAAATTTAAGCATTACAAACTGTTGGTTTATTTCGTGTTGGTGTCTCTAAAAAACGTTTAAAAGAAGTAAATTAATGATTTCTTTTTTTTTTTTTTGTTAAAAAAAAAAACTCTTTTTCAGCTTAAAGATCAAGTAAATTTAAATCGTAATTTAACATTTGATTCTTCAACAAATGCACATGATATAGCTGGTTTAATCAAAGAATTTTTACGTGAATTACCTGAACCATTATTAACACGTGATTTATGTGGACCATTTTTAAATGTTCGAACAAGTATGTGTCTAATGCTTTTTTTTGTTTTTATTAATTAACAAAATTTCTTTGTTGTGTAAATTTTAATATAGAACTTAATATAAAAGATCAATCTCGTGCATTATCTTATTTAATTAGTTTATTACCATCATCAAATCGTGATACATTATATACATTATTAAAATTTCTTCATAATGTTTCATTAAATTCTCAAGATCGTTATTCAATAGATGGAAAAATTCTTGTTGCTGGTAATAAAATGGATGCAGCTAATTTAGCTATTGTTTTTGCACCAACAATACTTATGGATTGTAAAGCACCTGTTATATCAAGTAAAGATATGAGTGTTGCTATGTCTGCTGATCAAATGGAACAAGGAAAAAGTATTTTAAAACTTATGATTGAACAATATAAAGAATTATTTACAGTAATTTATTTTAATAATTAATAAAACATAACAAAAAAAAATCGAAAAATATTTTATAATTTCCTTTTTTTTTGTTTTTTAAGGTACCAAAAGATTTACATAATGAAATTTGTGTTGCACTTTATGAACGTGATAGTATTCATTTAATGAGAGCATTAGCATTTAAAATACAAAATGGTTGTGGGTAAATAATTTATTTTTTATTATTAAAAATTAAAAAAAAAAAAAAAATTAAATTTTTATTTTTCTTTTAAGAATAAGTTCAATGCAATTAGATGAAACAAATGAAAATTTATTTATGTCATTAGATATAACACCAATTTTATATGAAATTCCTACTTCAACAACTAGTATTTTTTCGGCAATCATTCCTCGAATAAATCAACAACAACAACAACAATTAACAGATTCAATGCCTCGTCGTTATAATGGTCGACGTAATTCAGATTTTCCATGTACATCAACACATGCATCACGTTCATCAGAATTTCTTCAAGTACCTATATTATCATCACAACAACGTCGAATAAATAATAATCAATCATCATCAATTAAATCACTTGGTATACGTGATATACGTGAAGCAAGTATGGATCAAATTATATTTCGTCTTATTGATCCACCAAAATCATCACAATTATTACAACGTCCAACTGAACCTATTATTAATATTAGTTCATTTGATGATGTTATAACATCATCTGTAATTCGACCAAATTCACTTGATATTAAAGAATCTCCTTCATCACCGACTACTACTCAACGAACTACTGCTACAGCCTTAACAACATCAAATCCTCCATTATTACGTGAACTAAAACCTTATGCACGTTCAAAAACAGCTCCACTTTCATCTGTATCCGGTGCACAACAATTTTTAACTCCTAAACGTTGCGAAGCACGTGATTTATGTGGTTCGAGTTCAAATGATGATTCACCATCACCTACAACCGGTCATAATAGTACTCTTGTCTAAATGTATATAGTTATTAACAATTAGATGTTAAGAGAGAAAGAAAAAAGTATATATAAATATAAATATATTATTGTCGTTTTTTTTTTTTTGTTTTCTTATTCATCAATTGGTTCTTTATCACGAGCATGATCTTTAAAATAAGTTAATTCAGCTAATTGAAGTTCTTTAGCTTTTTTAGCAAATATAGCTGATCGACGTTTTTTTTCAACAAAATCATTTTGTGATTGACTTTTAACAAGTATTTTTCCATCATTTAATGGAGTTTGTGCAAATGATACTCGACCAGATGATAATCGATGAGTTTCAACATTTTCTGTTGATATATTTGATTGTTGATTTGATCGATGTTTTAGACATGAACGATGAATACTTGTCTCTTTTATTTCTATCGATTTTTCATTTATACTATTTATTATTTTCATTTGATTATGTTCTTGTTTATTTGTTATTGAAGGAGAATTAACATATTTTTTAATATCTGATGAAGATTTTACGTCTTTATTATCACTATAGTTCATATGGATAATATAATTAATGTTCGAAGAAAATCAATCGAACAATCAGCATGAAAATAAGAAGAAAGAAAAATGAATATATGTAACAACAAAAAAAAAAATAATTGTTGCCAAGCTTGATTTTTTTTTTTGTTAATATAGATGTTTTCGTTTATATTAATCAAGAAATTCTTATTATTTACAGTTCTAGATCAAAATAACTTCGCTTCATGATATTAAGCTGATATTTTGAGTGCATGTCTGTGGCAATAAAACTTAATCGCAAGCACCAATCGACCTATCCATCAATTCTCGTGTGCTGAAATTATGATTCAAACATCTTCAATCCCTTGAGAAAAATATATGCTCAAAAAACGTCGGTTTTTTCATTTTGACATTTTACAAACTATTTATAGTACTTGTCGTCTAGCGCTAAAGGCAGTTTCAAATTTCTATTTATTATCGTGAGAGTCTCTCTATGTGTCAAATCGCTTTTCAACCGGAGTGACGCTTATTTGATGAGTAATAAAAAAAAGTTCAGAATGCTTAATCAACATTCGACTTCAAATTTTGGACGGACAAAACTCTTCATAAAGTTAATTCATGAGACAAATTGTAACTTACACAAAAATATCTTTCAGCATAAGATATTCAAGGTTCGAGCTTCTTTTACATGTATAAGCCAATTTTATTCAGATATTTACATTTCCAGAGGATGGGTATCGATGAGCTGAGAGTGGAGCCACACCCACATACTTCTAATTAAAGATTTCGATACAGCAACAGATTTTTTTATCAGAATTTTTCATTCATTGAAGAATTAATTTTGAAACAATATGATGAACTATGATTAACAAAAAATAGAAGAAGTATGTTTTTTTTACTTGTAATATCATTATTAATATTAATTTCTTCTTCTATCACATCGAGTAGAAAATAAATAATATTTGGATGTCGAAGTTCGGAAATATTCAAATAACTAATTTTAAACATTATATATCAATAATATCATGACTATTATAATCATTACGGATTTCAGCGAAATTATTCATTATTATTTACTTCAAAACAAGTACGTCAATCTGAATAGAACTTTCAAAACGAAAAAAAAGAAACGATATCAATACGAGATTTGTTTTGACATGTGATTGTACAGCAAGAACATGTCTGTCGCAGTAGTAAACATCACCCCATAGACAAAAAAATTATCGTTTCCATAAAATAATTAAATACATCATACGTCATTCTTTTATTTTTCATCAGATACTCCTTTATAAATAATACACAATAATCAAACAAAAAAAACCAAGATACAAATATAATTAATAATCTTGTTTTATTTTATTAGCATAAAGAATAGCAGTTTTATTATGATCTTATTGAAAATATTATTATTTTTCTTGTAAGACCTGTATCATCAATACGATGCATATAATCTAAAATAATTTAAGTTATATTTTTTTTCCTTTTACTTTGAATTGTCTTATCCATATCATAAGCACTACGAGTAGCAACATCTGTTGCGACAAGAATATCTTTTTCAGTTTGTTTTAATTGAACGAAAAGCTAAATTTCGACTTTCTTGACGTTCGACAATATTTATCTTGTGAAGTAAAATTTTTTTTTTCATAAAACGAAGAGAAATATTTTCTTTTGTTATCTTGTATTTTCTACAACTTTATTACGTGATTTTTTATTTGTAACTGGAATATATTCAAGAACACGTTTAACATCAGCTTCAAAACTTAAATCTATGATAAGGCAAAACTAATAAGAACCAAATAAATAAATAAATAATTGAAATTTTGTTACGAATCATTCAATATCTCGTGTGCCAATAATAATTTGATAGCCAAGATGAAGCTTACAACTTTATTCTTCACGAGATAAACCATTAATAACGAAGACGACAGTTTTATTTAATGGCTAAACATTAACAAAAACTATTCAACGTATATGTCGTAAGACAAAATGAAATTCAGTTCGGTTGTAAATAGTCTTATTATCCATTTAAAAAAGCTTATTAGCGCAGCTCCTTGGGGACTGAAATGTGGAACTCACATATCTTCTTTGATTTCATTATACTAATCACAAAATACCCAATATTTAAATTCTCTAAAAGATAATATAGTTCTTTTCTAATGATAATCGATTATTAGAAAGGATGTGGGTGTGCAAGGGAAAATAAGTCCCACACTCACACTCTCTCTTTCCATAGGGAATAGAGACATCAAAGTTTGGGATAATATTTGTCAAGCTACAAGGGATAAGATACCAAAGTTTGAGCATTTTTCGATTCACTATGAGAAGAACAAACAATTTTCTGAGATGGTCCAAGACTTTTCGATCACGTTGTAAGTGTGCAGTTTCACTGTTGGATAAATATAATACTTGACCAACATGCACAGTACACCCTCACTATGTAGAACGAATCTTTTAGAAATCGCGCTAGTCTAGTGTCCCTCTATGTACGAATTGAAAATTTGTTAGATGTCGCTAGAAAATACCTTGAACTCTAAAGGAAAAAAAAATTCCACAAATGTAGTAGAAAGTCTTCAGATTTATCCATATACAATATGTCAATGGACCAATGAAATAGATCATTATTGTTGAAGTTTTATATGATTTAAATGATTGGTCTTATGAAATCATGACTTCACTTTACTAAGAAGCGATGAAGACGAATAACATTGCATGATAAAATAAACATGTTTGATTTGTTTTTACCTAGGAAGTAAGAGAACGAAGGATATCTGATCATCAAAGTAGCGAATAAGCATTATTGAATCACATGGTATTTGAAAGCTTCTTCTTCCCATGTCTTCATCGTCGACTGATGTGCTGCCCGTTGAGCTATTTCACGGTATATTCGATTATCTTTCAACAAATGATATTCTACGAGCATTTGTGAATCTTAGTGACTATGTTAATGCAGTGCTGCTCGGTTATAATCGCTATTTACTTCAATTTCGTTCTATTCACCGAAGTGATTTTGATATCATCTGCCGTCTGATTCGACCACATAGTGTCACTGCACTAAGATTGTTCGATTCGGATGAAACTCCAGATCTATCCAAGCTCTTTTTCTCTCGTTTCAAAATCGAACAGTTCACTCATCTTCATTCATTTGATATGGAATTTACCGATGAAAACGTAATCGAACAAATTACTAATCTGTCCGAAATGAAACAGTTGACATCACTTACTCTACCGAAACGTTTTAATCAGTTTCCTTTGTTCGTACGCGCTGTACAATCATTGCTACCTCGGTTGCACCGATTGACGACATCCTACGGCCAATTTACAGATCCATTGGTTAACCTCCGGTATTTGACAGTAACCCAATGCGAAGAATCTCAGTTAAGATGCCTCTTCTATTCGATACCAAATCTTCGATCACTTAATATCGAACTTGTCAACTGTGGAAATGTAATCTGGCCTAATACAATGCGCCAATTGATTCATCTGAGGCAGCTTCTAATAAAGAACTATGGTAAGTACATTGAATGAATAAACGTATATGGTATTTTTTTTTGTGAATGAACAAGAAAAAAAGAAATACAGGGTAATCAAAAACGTCTTGGTTGCTCTTAGAAAAATTGCTTGTTCTTCTTTATTACGATTCTAAAAATGCTCAAGTTTGGACGAGCAATTTCTTGTAACTAGACGAATAGTATCTTACATTTTTCAGATGCCTTGTCCTTATTGTAAAAGAGATACACTGATTGTTGATTTTTCAATATGAATACAATGACAACAATAGAATCGAAAACATTTTTGGGTATGATAAAAAACTTTTTTGTTAATTGAATCATCTTCTTTGTTAATCAGACATTGTAATCTTTTTAGTATCAAAATTTATTATTTAATTTTTTTTTATATTTTCTGGCCATTAATATTTAGTACAACTGATGAAATTTAGAAAAAAAACATCAAATAACAAATGTCGAAAAAATAATTACAAAGTAACAAAATTATTGAAAATGAATGATAGATAATTGTCATATATTAATATACATTCAAGCGGAGTTAACGATATTTTTAAACAGATATACCATAGACATATATCTCTCATATCATAAGGATTAGACATCTAAAAATTTTGGATAATATTCGTCTAATTACAAGAGATTATACGGCCAGTTTTGGTCATTTATAGATTTTGATATGCTAGACAACGAGAAATTTTTCTACGAACGGTCATGCCTTTTGGATCACCCTATATCTAATCGTTAGTTCTAATCCGAGACTCAGGAAAAGTCCCATGTTTGTGGAGTAAAGATGATAAAGTTTTTCTCATGTTATATACGTTATTGACTATATCGAATAACCGGATAATTCAAATTTAGCGATTTATATATGATTGATTGCGTCTATCCTTTTGTTCTTTTATTTGCTTAATAGACGTCATGACAATTGAGAATATTGAATCAATGGTTGCTATGGTGCCAAATTTAATACATCTTGAGCTCGATTTGGGAATGCTTTTCGATGAAACAAACGGATATCGATGGGAATCTTTTGTCTTCAATCTTAAAATATTTGATTTTCGCTATCATCATTCGTCTCTTCTTTTTCATGCTTTGACTCAAAACGAAATACTTGCTGCATATAGAACAGGTCAAGAAAAGTGAGCTCCAAACTGCGTAAACTCCAAATTTGGAGCTCACTTCCCATCCACGTTTTACCATAAAATACAGTCCATGTTTTTCGGTTTAAAGCGGTACGGCCCTATTTGACTGAGATACTAGGTGGAATTGTATCTGATGATTAACAGATGCATTCCCTGTGATACTCGAGGCAATACCTGGGATGCTAGCGGCAACACCTGGGATGCTAGAAGCATCGCCTGGTATGCTAGTAGCATCACCTTGGATGCTAGAGGCATCACCTGGGATGCTAGTAGCATCAATTGACATGCTAGGGGCATCACCTGGGATGCTAGTAGCATCACCTGTGATGCTAGGTACATCACCTGGGATGCTAGTAGCATCACCAGTAATGCTAGAGGCATCACCTGGGAT